TAACCCTCTCCCCTTGACAGGTACACTGAAGACTGTTGAATCAGGCCTCTATCAAACCCTGCCTGGTAGTCCAGCTCAAATTACAAGTGTAAGGAATGCAATGTCTGTGCTGGCCCCCTTCGTTATATCATTCAAACAGAGGCCCTGTTTACTCTGCCAGCCTCCGCTCCTCCTCCCCTCACATGGCAGCCATCTAACTGTGGGAACAGCCACCTCGTATTCCACACATTCCCAATATGCAAGATGAACCGAGAAGGCATAAAAACACAACATGTGCTTTATAAAAGAACACCCAAATTTGCCAGGGAAGATCTTCTCCCATCCCACCGCCTGGGCTGGAGTAGATCAATGGACCAATACTAAAGTCGTGAGGAAAAGTTGGCCAAGCTTTGAGAAATGTTTGGAGCTCTAATGGCTAAACCAGGGCGCTGTGTGTTTTGTGTGGCATGAATGTGCAGTAGTTCTGGGGGAGAGCGAGGGGTGCCCTCCCCACCTCGCTGGATGATGTTCTTTAGTGTGTTGGAGGGGGTGAAGCTTGCAGCATTCCTCCACATAATGAGTCAAGTTGACTGGGTACAAAGCTACTAGCTGCTCATGGTGGGTCCTGGTCTCGCCACATACTTCCTAATGGGCTTCTTTATGGTCAGCGACTGGTGGCTGCTGGTGACTGGAGGCCGCTCTCTGTAATAGTGACCAGACTCCCACAATGGGACCACTCTCACCCCCACCATATGACAACCCTTACCCCAACAAAGTGCTCCTCACCCCCACCATGTGACATATCTCCATATATCCATATCTCCGCAACATGACACACACACACCCCCACACCCCACCCCCACCCCCACCCCCACCCAACCCCCAACATCACCTCCCCCCACAACATGACCCCCCACACACACATACACACAACATCACTGCCCCCAAATGACCACCACCCAACAACATGACTACCCCCAACTTACGTGATCTCCCCCAACTTACATGACCATCCCCCCTCAACATGACCACCCCAACTTACATGACCACCCCCCAAAAACATGACCCCAACTTATATGACCCCCCCCCATAACATGACTACCCCCAACTTACGTGATCTCCCCCAACTTACATGACCACCCCCCAAAAACATGACCCCAACTTACATGACCCCCCCCATAACATGACTACCCCCAACTAACATGACCATCCCCACACAACATCACGGCCCCCGACAACATGACCATCCTCTCCCAGTGTAAATAATGGATTTGGCAAATCATGTATTCTTTGTCTGACAATAATAATAATTTTTTCAAGAACCATATCTTATTTGATTGTAAAATGGTAGTCGTGTAAATACAACGTAGTTCTTAGTTGATTTGTTTATCGATATGTGAATGATCGTCATGTTAAGCAACATTGAAACATTAATCTTTGCCTGATGACTTTTTGTTTACGTATATATATCTGCAACAGTGATCATTCTATTTGACAGAACATCTTAGAAACTGTTTGGGGAAAGTAAGAATACAGAATATAATTGATTAAACCTTGAAGGTAGTGGACAAGAGTTCCTATACTGAGCAGTTTCTGGGTATTTCCTTGTTTATTGACTGTCTCCTGGGTCTAGTGGTAGAGCGGAAGGTGCCGGGTTCAATCCCCAATGTCATACTAAAAGACGTTAAAAGATGGTGCTTCTTGTTTCCCTTCCTGGCGCTTGGAATTTAGGGGCTTTAACAAAGACTGGTTGGCTTGGAGTCAGTATGCTGTCTGAGTGGGGTATTCATGTTAAACTGCGGCATGGTTTCTCAGTGGGCTAGCACTATAAAATCGGCATCAGTCGTACTAGTCCAAGCAGCCACACACACACATGCAACATTAAACCCCATTTCACCTCCCCTCTTTCTTTATAACAATACATGATGTTGTGTACTTTGATTCAATATGTAGGACCCAAACAAATCCATGTTGCCATGTATTATTTCTTTAACACTGAGAATACACGCCTAAGGTTCAAATCTTGACGTACAATTTGTAATTTCAAAAATATTATTTTTTAGAAAAAAATTAGAGAGTGAATGCAATGTAGAGGTCAGTCGTTTTCATTGTTTGATTTAAGGTTCCAATAAACATCTGCATAGATAGACAGCCATTGATAAAAACAATACAACCTATAGCATTAGACAAGGAAACTGTACAATTTGATTAATTCCGTAATATTTGGGCTTTAGCAAGATCTGGTAAAACTATTCACACAATTCTGTTTGTGCATGACAGAACTTTCACGAAGACAGTAAGACAACACAACTTATTTTGAGAAGAGGTCTAAAACCGTGCACATGTCTAAGATGTCTCGGATAGGCCAACAAGGAAAGGAATTAACCATGTGGAACTCTCCTTACAACTCCGGGATAGATCTGCTAGATGGGTCGAGTTATGACAAGGGAGACCACCCAGAAGACATGGCATCGTATCTTGTCAGAGGGGTAGGGTGAGGGGGAGGGGGAAAACGATCCTCAACCATTCCGACTTGAATTATTCCCCTTCACGCTTAATGATGATACGAAGAGGCTGAAAAAAAGTGTGACTTTGAAGGCGAAATCTGTGTGTGAAGAGAGAGAAAGAATGAAATTTATTGCATAATGATGTGGCAGAGTGTTGCAGAGGAAACATTCTGAAGAAACTGCCAGTCTTGGGGAGTTATGTTTGAGTCTTGGATATTGTGAGAGGAGAAATGTTGCCGCAACTCTGCGCTCTCACAGGGCACCAGACACGGAGAGGGATCACGCTGTGCATGGCTAGCCCACCTGTAGAAATACTCCACTTCATCAAGTTTAACTACCCACACACCTGTGATGATTAGCGGCAAAATATTCGTCTTACCTTTCCATGTCATGGCTTTGGGTGGAAAGTGATGCGTTCATTAACGTCCTGTTTGTTTGTGAACCGTTTCCAGTATTATTGTTTAGGTGGTGTAATTATTTTTACATTCAATCAATGTTTGACATGATGGAAAGTGTGAGACTCGCATTCTTGCAGAGAAACAATACTGACAGTTTCACAGGAATAAATAACTGTCAGTTTCACAAAAAGAGGAATTAATAACTGTCAGTTTCACAGGAATAAACAACTTGGTTTCACAAGAAGAGGAATTAATAACTCAGTTTCACAGGAATAAATAACTGTTGGTTTCACAGGAAGAGGAATTAATAACTGTCAGTTTCACAGGAATAAATCTCTGTCAGTTTTGCAGGAATAAATAACTCTCAGTTTCAGGAATAAATAACCGTCAGTTTTAGGAATAAATAACTATTGGTTTCACAGGAATAAATAACTTCGGTTTCACAAGAATAAATAACTGTCAATTTCACAGGAATATATATCTGTCAGTTTCACAGGAATAAATAACGGTCAGTTTCACAGGAATATATAACTTGGTTTCACAGGAATAAATAACTGTCAGTTACACAGGAATAAACAACTGTCAGTTTCACAGGAATAAACAACTTCCGTTATCTCAGGAATAAATAACTTCGGTTTCACAGGAATAAATAACTGGCAGTTTCACAGGAATAATTAATCCTCAGTTTCAAGGGAATAATTATAACGGTCAGTTTCACAGGAACGAGAAAATAACTGTCAGTTTCACAGGAATTAATAAGTGTCGGTTACCTAGGAATCAATAACCATCAGTTTCATAGGAATAAAAAGATATTTTTTCCAGGGAATTCATTCTAAGATAAATGTTTCAATTAAATTTAAGGTCATCTCTAATGTCTGTCCAATTTTATAGCATATGACACTGTATTCGACATATTAAGTCCCCTGCTCTATCTGTAATTAATCTTCATAAGCACCCCCCCCCCTACTTAGACCCGAACATTTACGTGATTCTCCATACCTTGCCTATGTTACAGATTTCTTTAAAAGAGAACGGACGCGTAAAATGGATATATATATATATATATAATTGCTTGGTAACTCTTATCGAAATAGTTTTTTCTTCACTTGATCTCTGAAAATATGTTCAACTCCTTGTTTATGGTTTTAATAAACGCCCCCTATATCAATTGTCTAAGCCATGAGCTGCTTATTACAACAAATAGTAAAAGTAATTGACTTGAGGTATAATTTCTGAATCACCTGCACATGTTGAAATATGCACAGATTAATATTAAGATGTTCATTCCAAGACCAGACTGTGAAGTAAGTACATGGAGCAGTACTACACAGACTTCCAGATTGACAGACATATTCCTACAGAAAAACAAAACCCTAAACACCTCATATCACACCAATCTTCATATCTACTCACTGAGGAGAGTCATCAAACTGGTTGCCATGGCAACTATCATATTATGCTAGACTGCTTTGGATAAACTCTCCTATGAGTTGTTTTTTTTCATTTATCATTGACTGTTGATATCAGTGTCAATACTGATGTCAATATCATTACTGTGTCAATATCAATGTCAATACTCATGTCAGTATCGATGCCAATATCATTACTGTGTCAATATCATTACTGTGTCAATATCAATGTCAATACTCATGTCAGTATTGATGCCAATATCATTACTGTGTCAATATCAATGTCAATACTCATGTCAGTATCGATGCCAATATCATTACTGTGTCAATATCATTACTGTGTCAATATCAATGTCAATACTCATGTCAGTATCGATGCCAATATCATTACTGTGTCAATATCATTACTGTGTCAATATCAATACTGATGTCAATATCAATGTATATACTGATGTCAATATCAATGCAAATACTTATGTCAATATCTATGTCAATATCGATGTCAATACTTATATCAATATCAATTTCGATACTTATATCAATAGCGATGTCAATACTTATATCAATATCAATATCGATGTCAATATCAATGTCAATATTGATGTCAATATCAATGTCAATACTTATATCAATATCAATTTCAATACTTATATCAATAGCGATGTCAATATCAATGTCAATATCAATGTCAATGTTCTTGTTTTCAGTGGATGGAAGGTTAGGGAAAGAACTAGAATACACTCGGAACATAAAGGGGGCTGGATCTGGGACAACAAGTGAAATAGTTATACAGACACCGAAGAAAGCAACGAATCTGTTGAATGTGGAATCTTTATTGTTACATTTAAACGCCTTGTTAGAAGCTACAAGGATAGAGATTGAAGTCGATGGCTTGTAAGTAGTGTTACATTTCTCTATTTTCTCTAGATTTCTTAAAATCAAAGTTCTGATGACAAGCCTCTGATTTATTCTGATAATTTGATCGAGCATTTTATGGTAGTCATCAGTTATATCAGTATAGTTTCTGTTGTCATGGTAACTACAGTAATGTAAGTGCAATGTTAGTCATCTGGTGGTTTGAGTCGTTTTTGAGATTCCTGACTCTGTCGATCATGTATTTCAAATCTTTCAAACATTGTTTTTTTCAGAACATGGAAATTTTCAGATCTATGTTTTGCTGCAGACTTTCCAAGAACCGAAAATGCATTTATTGATCTTGTAAGTATTTTTTAAAACATAATTTATTATTTTCAATGTGTCAAAAATGAGATTTAAAATTTTCATCAGATAGTTCTACTCTTTAGATTTACACACTCTTTCACCCAGTGGTGATTAAAACAATACTTATTAAATGAAATATTTTCATCAAGACCATTCTTCTCTTCAGATTTTAGAAGATCTTTTACCCTGTGTGGTGATAACGCCTTTAGACTGTTTTTGGGAAGGTGCAAAGATTTTAGGACCGAATCCGTCCTACAACACAGGGTGAGTGTTGAAGAGATTGATACAATGTTCATAACAGCAATGCTACTTAGAACATTCATTCAGTGTTCATAACAACTGTCAACAACCTCTATGCTACTTTTCACCTCATGATGGTTCAATGCCGGGGATCATATAATATTTTGAAAGTGTCTACGAAGCATCAGATTGGCTTGATGACTTGAATAATCTGAAACCACCAGTCTCTCAAGCTGAGGTTCACCCATTAAAACAATGGAAAAAAACAAGCAGATACTCAAAATCTCAGATATATGTCTCTTGAAAATCTGGAAAAAGCTGGACCCAGAACGTCAGGGGAACTTGAGTGAAGGCGTAATTGCTCTCCAACTCTGATATTTCACTCCTGTATACGAGGAAGGTCATTTCGACGTAATTAATGGATTGTGGTTTGTTTTTTGGGCTTTGATGATTTTGCAGGATGCTTGGTAAAGAAAATGGAATCTGTAGCATTACCGACTTTATTGTTACCAGGAGATATGATTTGATCGCATCCCAAGTGGGGGCACCATTATAAACTGGATGTTTATAAAAAGTTCAGGACATTAACACTGTCTGATTACCTTCTCTGAAATGTGAAGAAGTATTTTTAACCCTGTAAATTAAAAGTTTCTTAAATGATGTTTCGGTGTAGCTATTCTTTACAAAGCTTGCCAATTTGGGGATTCAAATTACTGATGTTAAAAAAACCCTCATCATTAACATTGACATAGTGCTCCTCCTGCTCTTCATCACAGAGTGTGGGTGAGTGAGTTAAAGTGCAGCATGTTAGCTTAATGAAAGGGGAAAGACTTGGTGATGCAGGTCTGACATTGTTACCACTTAGGTCAAGCCTCAAAGCACTATGGTCCTGACAATTCAAGATTCATAAGCAAAGTGGACCGGGATTTGAACCCATGGTCTTAGCATCCTTGTACGTCCAAGGGATGCAACTGTGGCAGGCAAACAGCAACGTTTTAGACAACTGGACCACATTGTCGTCTATGTTAGAACATATTGATCAGAAGTAGTGAAAACACAAAGAAAGACAATAAATTAGGTCAAACGTGTCCGAACCTTTAAAAAATATGGGTGTTATAATTTGTTGGAAAGTATTTTTTCTATGTCACCGCTGCTAAGTATTAGTGACCAAATAATAATTCTGACGAATCTGTATTGTTATGAAAGTAGGAGATTGGTCTTGAGCCAGGATATTTGGACTACCCCTTGCTGTTCAAGGTGAAACCTCATACCACTAAGGCAATCATCAGTGTGGGTGGTCTAACGCCTCAGATACCAACCCTGCCCTTTGTATTATCAACTCAATAAAAAGAGATCTAGACTTTGATTATACCTCTTCTACTATCCTATTGGCGGAGGCACAATGGACATTTCTGTCAGGGGTGTTGATTGGTTGGGTTGAATGGAGAGGGCAAAGTGTTAAGTTTCCATTGACTAAAGGATGGTCTGTGAATGTGGTCAAGGCAGATTGAGAATACATTAGTCTCAGTTTCATAGGTCTGTCACCTGTTGGAAAGTTGAAGGGAGTGAGGAAAAGTGGAGGTGGTAGGGGTAGTTATGATAATATAAAGTACAGCTCTCAAAAGATAAAAAAAATAATCCATTATGTAAATTTAGGCCTGCACAATATTTGATTTAAAATTTCACCTATAAGTTATTTTTTTAAGGGTTCACATTTTAATCTTTTCCTAGATGTAAAAAAAATCCTAATTATTATGTTTCTAATAATTTATCAATTTTTGTCTGGGCTAAAAATATGTTGGAAAATGTTTTTCGAGACATTTAATTTTTAGTACAAAGCCCCTTGAAAGGTTAAATGGTCTGTTTTTGCTTGGCATAAAATCAAGCTACACGATCAAAGAAACGCTAAACCCAAACCTTTTGTCTTGGCAAAGCATAGCACCTTCTGTATTCCACATTAGTGGGTGGTCGTAGTTTTGGTACTGACCTTCCCAATGGCGAAGGTATTGTGGGTTGGCACCAAAAGTGGAATCGGGACCAGATAGCGGAATTGAACTGTCAGGCAGGAGGAGAGTTTGTTGTCATAGTTTACTTGCCTCATAAACACTGCAGTTTCCGAGATGGTTTTGTGTATTTGAAGAGGAAAACTGTGTCGTGTTTCTCTCCCTTTCTCTCTTCTCAATCCCGCAGCAAATGTAAGCCACCGGACAACTTAGAAACAGGTGATTTTAATCTGGGGATTTTGGCACTGAAATATTTTTGCAGATGAAAATAGCAACAGCCTTGCCTTTTGAGAGCTAGGGGTTTTCGTTTGTGAATCGGAGAAAATGTTTTTCGTCTGTTTTCCATTTGCAGGTCAAATGAAAATACGTGAAAATGTTAAGGCCAGCTATGGCCCCGGATTAATTTCTTACATAGAGATATATCGAGGAATACTTGTCGACCTTTTCTACCATGGCTGTGTTCATCGAGGAATTGTAGTGAAGTTATGACTCCACAGTTGTATAAAGTGGAATAATCCATTTGTAGACAGTTTTTGTCCAAATTTCCCAGGCAGCCCATACAACCCACTCGATGCGGTTTAAAAAAATGCAATACAAATTATGTAACGAGTTCCATGTGTTCTATAGCTACTGTTTTCTCTGGGTTTCATTCAGTGCAGCACCCATGGCAAATGGCGACTTAATTTCTCACATGTGGCTGCAACATAAACCGAAATGGGGAACCTCTGTATGCTAAATATATTTCAAATTTTTGTCCGAGTGTCAGTGTCATTTTGTTCAATCAATGAAACTGTTAGGTTGCAAACTAATTCAATGACAGCTGTAAAGTGAGGATAATTTCTGTCAATGAATGATTTGTAAAAAATGGAAATATGGCGCCATGGGAAATAATGAATGAAATAATGGTTTTGAGACAAATGGATAATGATTGTTGTATATATCATGAATCGCTATCATGTTCTTACAAGATTGGGGGTAAATCCTGCGCATGGGTTAATGAGATTGCTATAGATGGGGGACGCTAAGTGTACGGACATGTTCAACTTGGGTGGTCTTGACCAAATAGCCCTGCTGTAGACTAGCTGGTGAGTCTCTGCTATCACAGATGGAGTATCAGCCTATCTGATGTCTTGTTTATAGGTAGAATTACTTATACTCATTATAAGCTAGAGTTTACTGCACAAAGCACATCCACACAGGGCTGAACTCAACTGCACATCAATATAGGAACAAGATACATGTGTAACACACTTTGTAGTATTCTTGTTTCATAATTTGTCTTGTGGAAAACCTGTTTTGTAATGGAAGATGAAAGTCATGTATTATGTTTTGCCCATGTTTTGCAGTAGAACGTAATTTGTACTTGCAAGAATATACAGATAATTAGCTGCAGCAAACTTATGTACATCTTTATATTCACAAACATTGCTTAAGTTCTCAAACATTTTGTAAAAAGCTCTTTGTATCAAACAAGATATTAAGATGCACCTATAAATGTTAGATATATGTAATGTAAAATGGGTCGATGGCCTGAAATTCTGAATAAACTTAATCTGAATCTGTTTCCCAATTTACTACATTTGGGTAGGAATAACTTCAGCATGGTTTGAATTTTAGTATGGAGAAGCTGATAAAGTATTTGAATAATTTGCTCAACATGAGTACTTGGTTGATGAGGTTCTTGCTGCATATTTTCATTATTCTACAATATTATTGTCCTTATGTTTCATAATTTTGAAGCAACTGAACAAAAATTTAAAACACTTTTTTTCAGTGGTCTTGAGAAGTTTCCAAAATGGATATAAAACTAAATGACTTGGATAAACCTCTGACGAGGAAGTTGTAGTGATAATTTGATGGATAGATGTAAACTCTTAAAGTCATCTCGAGTTTATGTGAAAAAGGGAAGCCTTTTTAGTCATGGGTGGTGCTTGTATGAATTCCAGTGTCCAAATATTGTCACAGATCAGCCTGAAGCTTGTCAGGACATTGTGGGGCATACAATGGATGTGTCCAGGTCATTCAGAGCCTTGTCTGCACTGACCAGTGAGTGAACGCTGGCTGGTCAGACCACCCTGGAGGTTGGCTGTGCCCCCCTGATGACCAGAGGTCATTGCTGCTGATTGATAGGGCCGGCCAGCACTGTGGAGGTCAGGATGAACACTGGCCTAAACAAGCCAGTGTTCATCACCTCTTGTAGATCACACCTTGTGGCTTGGGAAGTGTTGAATGCTGGTAGATCTCAAAGCAATCTGGGAATCATAGCACTGTCTTATTCGGAAAAATTGATTTTTTTTTGTCTGCAACTATACAGTAGATCAGTAGATGATTTATGTTTATCAGAAATTTTAATATTTTATTATTTCTTTCAAAACGGACTTGACAGGTTAAAGAATTTTTCATGCTCAATCATGACTTAGGAAATTAAAGAGCGTATGGACATACATGCTCGTTTTTTCTCTCCATGATTTGGATTTCACATTAAATATAAATACAAAGTGACAACATCCTCAGGTACGAAGCACGTAAAAAAACGAGGGCAACTCATAAAATGTTTTCTATGGCTCAGATCAGCCAGTTGTTGCCGTTATATTACACGTGTTAAATTAAGAAGCGGAAAATCAAAGAAAAACATGAATTCCTACACCAGATTAAACCTTTTGTCATGTAAATTGCTACGTGATTTCACCTTCTCAATGAAAGACCTCAATTCATAAGTGAAATAGGCACCCTTAACATAAGAAAGGGAGGCAAAATAGTGCAGCGTGATGTATTCAAGCAGAGAGGAAACTCTCGCAATGCAAAATAAAAATAGTAATGTTTTGAAATACATTTTTCATCTTATCTATCTTTTTTATAACAAGAGGCCAGGAAACTTCACCCATGAAATTCTTTACCTGGCTGGCATTAATGATAAGGGTTGTCAGTAGTCCGTATCTTAGGGGGGCGCTGATATCAACTTGGGTGGCCTGCAAAGACACTCGGATCTTACATGTCCCTACTGTGTTTCAGTCTCTATAGATAAGTGTGCGCTTATCATCAGGAGTCGTTGTGGGTGACAGATGGGAAGTAGACAATATTCTATTGACATGTCATTGATGTGATATGGACGTGAAATAAATCCACGTCTTTGATAGATGTTGATACAGTGATAAAGGGAGTAATTTACGTGGACTGAAATTGACAATAACATGTTGATTACTGTCTTTCATGATGATGGTAGATAGGGAAATACGATTATTATTGTATGATACGTTGAGCTTACTATATAATTGCTTAGGTATCATGTCTTCTAGCATGGCTTATCACATGAAGGGGTAAATGTGATATGGTTCAAGTTATGCAACCTGTATATTACATGTTTTTGAATGGATACAATGTAGTAGGTCTCTCATATAGGCCTATACCCCTCATCAAACACTGAGAGTCTTCCCAGAAATGTTGCTACTAGCACTAGCCCCGGGTCCCCACCCTCAGAGATGACAGAGCCAGATGGGGGGATAATCCTATATGATTCCCTCAGACAAGCAAGCAACAGTAAACCCCCCTCCCCTCAAACCCCACCCACCCCCACCCCCACCCCAACCCCCACCCCCAACTAGCAAACTAGAGAACTACCCCAGCAGTAGATGTGACCCTCAGTGTTTCCCTGGCACATATCCTAACACACACACACACACACACACACCCTCCCCTGAAACTCCCAGTGACCCCCCTAGCCCTTGGTACAAACCAAACTAATCCCCAGGAAAGAGCAAGAGCCACCCCCGCCTGGCACCGACCCCCCACATTTCCCCTGTGGGTGCAGGTGCAGTGCCACTGGAGGAGAGCTTAGCCCCGATAGCCAGATAAAGAAATCTATCACTCAACAGGAATAAAACCCACACTCATCTCTGTTCAGTTTCACAAAGAAAGGAAATACAAAACCTACTTTGTCTTCACAAAATTATTTGTAAAAAATATCTATTTGTCAATTTCTTCTAAACTGTATTTCATAAGTAATTCTTCAGAATTTGAAAAATCTTTTAAAAAACAAATACATATTTGGTGCAAATTGTAATTGAAATTAGATTAAGTCATGGTAAAATCATACTCTATTTTTCTGCATATTATGACTGCCTGTTAAAGACTTTCACCTGCAATCTTACCACTGTGGATGATGTTAGTAGTAGACTATTTATAGTGATTGGTATGGAACATGACTTCCGCTAGTCAAATGTAATGAACCTGAAAGGGCAGCCACCACGTTGGATGGTAGTTTTTAGCCAGATAAAAAAGATAAAAAACTATCATGTTCTTTACAGACAGCCATTAACGTCGGTAGCATTTGACCACAGTTTGAGGGAAGTATATAACAGGTTCTCTTTAAATCCTCCCTCGTGCTCCTGGGGGCCTGCAGCCTCCGCAACCTCATCAGTGTCAGTATAAAACTCGTCAATTGCAAAAATAAACTGCCACTCAATTAGAATGCTCCATTTCTCATCATTCCAGAACTTGGGGCCATAGTACACTATCCAGGAGTATGTTTAGTATAAAGATAATACATGCTAACAGCTTCAGCTGTTTTAATTCAAAAATGATTCAGTGAAATTTGAATATAAAAACTAACATGTTTATTTTCTTTCAGGAACAGTATTTTTGGAAAATTAAGTTGGACGAACCTTAACCCAAGGGAGATGATTGAAAAACTGAGATTTGCCGAATCCTATTTTCCAGTTGAGGAGATGGAAGAGACCTTTGATAGGGTAAGCAATCATGTGGTCTCTCCTTAAGTTCCATTGTTCGAAATGTGCCTCTTTTCTCCCAGCAATGAATGGGTAACCGGTAGAATCAGATGATAATATAGTGGTTAACCTTCTTGCGCCGCACATGTACCTTGGGTTGTATACTCCACAGGGAGCTGAGAATGTAAATCGAGCACACACTGATCCGTTGATTGGGTTAAAAATGTGGCACTTTGAGCATGCTTAAGGCATGGATTTGGCACATTATCAATATGCACAATACCATTGTTATTTTCTTGTACAGATGACATACCTGTGTATGAAGTGTTAAAGGACTGATGCTGAAGGCCTTTAATAGCATGTCAATAGGTTGTCAATAGCTTTGAAATGTCTTGTAAATACCTCTAATATTGCGTCAATGTCTTGTCAGTATCCTGTCAATTTCATTCTAGGCGGGGATATATGATGCCTACATGACTAAACCCTGCCTAAACCCACATGATGAAGAATGCCCCGAATCTGCACCCAACTTCTACTCAAAAGAGGTAAGCACAATATTCATCTATAGTCCACATTTCCGACTGAACTAGCCAGGAAGCAAGCCTGTATGCGCCCATGCCCCCCCTGTATGCCACTGTTTCACTATTAGGGTAGCTTCCCTGCCCCCCTGGCCCTGGGGTCAGGTCATTCACCCCGAAGGAGAGACATCAGGGTGGCATTGAGAGAAGTGTATGGGAGAACAAACACACCTTTGAGGCAGTGATAACGAATGTTTTCTTTACGTGAGTAGCAAGACCAAGTGTGTTGGAATACGTGTGATTTCTGCAGTTTTATCAGAACCTGGCCTGGCTTGCAGTGTTCACGCAAGTTGTACCTTCCTGGCTGTAAACAGATGTAAACAGTGTTAATTGTAAGGGTAAGAATAGGCATGGGAGGACACATGCCTCGCCCATTGCCACCACACACCTGACCAGTGGACGTCTATTGCACGTCTATTTCTGCCACTGGGGTCACATGTTGGTGTTACCACTTAAATAAATTTTGCGACTCCCTTTATGTAAGTGCTTGAATTCTTTTTGCTCAATTCCCACTTTTATTCTCACTGTGGATATTTGGCTAGATGGCGTTTTCATATTTGACTGTGATGTCACTTTAGCATCACCTGGCAAGAGTTTTGCCTGTTTCCTTTACCAGCAGTGACTGGTAGCGTCAGTAGCATCTGCCTGTGAGTGGCTTCAGCTGTGATGACATTTGTACTTACAGCTGATTCTGAGTCACTCAGTTCACTGTCAGTGCATATGTTTAGCTATATTTTGACAAAAGAAACAACTGATAAAAGTACTAGAGAATGCTTGTGACATGGGTTTCTGATTACTGGATCATATGGCCTCTTATTCCTGGATCACTTGGCTCTGTCTGGATCATATGGCCTCTCATGTCTGATAAAATTGCCTCTATCTGGATCATATGGCCTCTGATATCTAGATCATATGGCCTCAGATATGTGATCACATGACCTCTGATGCCTGGATAATATGGCCTCTCATGTCTAATAAAATTGCCTCTATCTGGATCATATGGCCTCAGATATGTGATCACATGACCTCTGATACCTGGATAATATGGCCTCTCATGTCTAATAAAATTGCCTCTATCTGGATCATATGGCCTCAGATATGTGATCACATGACCTCTGATACCTGGTTAATATGGCCTCTCATGTCTGATAAAATGGCATCTGCCTTGATCACATGGCCTTGATCACATGGCATCTTAGTGTGATTAACATGTTTTGGAATTTGAAATTGACTCAGGACAATCATTAAATGGTTTTAAATACGAAGAAAAAATATCAAACTAATATATCTTTTCTGGTTCAAGTATTTTCGTCAAACAAAATTCTAACCTCTTTTACTTCACCTTTTTCAAGAGGTGTAATAAAGCTTTTCAGTCAGTGAAGTTGTTTGGATCATAAAAATCTGAAGTCATAAAGAAGTATAAATATTTGGGACATGACTGAAGCCCCAAAGTTTATAATGATGCCAAGAGCTATCAAGGATGCCTATTTCGAAATGAACACAGTATAAAGAGGCAGCCACACACCAGTCCACGTTGGAAAAAATTGCTTTATTGAAATAAACTCCGGTGACCCAAGTCTCATAAGCATGTTGCTAAATCTGATACTTCTAGCATTCATACGGCAGCATACCTCTGCTGATGAAGTTCCCTTAGAATCCCTCGTCTACATACACTGTCCTCATGACTCCACAGCTTTTGAGATGAAAGCTTTGTGGCTGATTAACTGATGTATCTTGTACAATATCTGTGTTTATTGTTCTATTACTCGACCGCCCCTAAATGATTATTGAGGACTGCACCTGCCAGGTTCTATTTGAAGATGGAAATATGCAGATTTTACGATATTTTGTTAAGTGCTGGTAGTGAAATGCACATTACTCTTATCTTCTTGCAAAAAAAACCTGAACATTGAAACAGAACTCGTTTTTTCTGACTTGAAATAACATTGACGATTTGAGGCACTTCCAACTTTGATTATCTGTTTTGTATTTTGTTTTAATCTTTTACCATCTAATTTGAATTAAACCAGTGACATAAACAAAATAGTTTTACTTCAAAATTTTATTTTCAATTCACAAGTGTATGTGATGTTTCATGAGTATATTTGTTGCCCCAGATACCGGACATTGGGGCGGAGTTGACAAACGGATGTAGTGGGTTTGCTACCAAGTACATGCATTGGGAGGAGGACCTCATTGTGGGCGGGGTCAAGAAGAACAAGACAGGCCACATCATCAGGTCAGTATGCTGTCAATATAACAGTCGTCCATATCACTTCTGTCAATATCACAGTCGTCCATATCACTTCTGTCAATATCACAGTCGTCCATATCACTTCTGTCAATATCACAGTCGTCCATATCACTGCTGTCAATATCACAGTCGTCCATATCACTGCTGTCAATATAACAGTCGTCCATATCGCTTCTGTCAATATCACAGTCGTCCATATCACTGCTGTCAATATCACAGTCTTCCATATCACTGCTGTCAATATAACAGTCGTCCATATCACTTCTGTCAATATCACAGTCGTCCATATCACTGCTGTCAATATCACAGTCGTCCATATCACTGCTGTCAATATAACAGTCGTCCATATCACTTCTGTCAATATAACAGTCGTCCATATCACTGCTGTCAATATCACAGTCGTCCATATCACTGCTGTCAATATCACAGTCGTCCATATCACTGCTGTCAATATCACAGTCCATATCACTGCTGTCAATATCACAGTCTTCCATATCACTGCTGTCAATATCACAGCTGTGTATATCACTGCTGTGTATATCTCAGTCTTCAATATCAGTTTGTCAATATCAGTGTTGTCAATATCATATCCATCCATATACCGTATTCGACGTAATAAGCGCCCAGGGCGCTCGAAAAAATAGAAATAGGGGGCTCTTATTAGAATATTATTTTGGTGGGAAAAAACAGAGTCGAAAGATAAATTTCGTTGTTTATGCTGACGGTCTGAACTGTTTATATACGACAGATATATTTTTCCAGAATTTAATTGCCCATAATTAAGGGTGCATATAACACACGAGTGCGTATTATACACGAATAAATAAGACTTCTGTACATTGATCAATCGGAAGGGATGCTAATTGGGATTGTTCACTTGCCAATATATTAGCAAATATTGCCGTGGGCGCTTATTACATCGAATACGGTAAGTGTATGACAGCTGTTTCCATCAGTGTTGTCTATATCACTGAGTCTTCTTCTCTGGACACGTCCATGTCCCTGTTGTTGTTGTAGATGTTCCATTTGTCAATCAGTCACCAACCAAACCTATATAAGGTATGTCTATAAATGGCAAATGTACAAGTGATGTTGGTTTCAGGGTGGAGGCATTTCAGTCTGTGCTCCAGCTGATGGGGGAGAAAGAAATGTTCGAATATTTTGATCAGACAAGTGATGTTGCCAGTGTGGCTTGGTCTCAAGACCATGCAAAGAGAGCTCTAGAAACATGGCAGAGGAATTTCTCAGATGTAAGTAGCGAAATAACCTCTTCAAGTGTGTTGTCCCCAAGTAAATGTGCTGTAACTAAGTTATTTATCTTGTTCTATTGAGGGTCTTGCTCAAAAGTTTTAAACAAATTAAGGAACAAAATAAATTCAGTATGTCATTGTGTCATATTTGGTTAACCATGCAATTATTTGTTTGTGTTTCTTGTCACTAAAAAGATATGTATATTTTCAGATTGTCAACAAGATTGCTAATGACAGCGCACGGGATAATGTTTATGCATTCTCGTACACATCGTTGTTGGATATCATGAAAGATTTCTCAAGTATCAGTGGCGTCAGAGTTGTACTGGGATATGTGCTCATGGTAAGTTCATATCGATTCATTAATTCAGTGTTAATTCAACTGAGTGACAACAGACTTTAATTTTAATATTAAAATATGAAAGTACCCAGAATGCTCTCCTGTTTAGAATACACCCTCGACATATGTTTAGTTTTCAACAAAATTTATGATCTGCATTTAAGTTTAACTAACTGTTTTATGACCATCTCTTGCAGTTTGTTTATGCGTGTGTGTCTCTACTGAAATGGAACGACGCTGTCCACTCCCAGAGTGGTATTGGAATGGCTGGAGTGTTGCTGGTGGCGCTGTCTGTGGCGGCAGGTCTTGGAGTGTGTTCTGTTCTAGGAATTAAGTTCAATGCCTCCACAACCCAGGTACAGATACCATACATTTCATCAAATATTTTGAATTTAAGAAGTTTGTTCATTTTAATCCAAATCTTATTAAAGCTTCAGAAAGACCTAAAAATAGAAAATGGTTATTTTTTCTCTACATGTTGATGTATGATTGAGAATGATCAATTATTTATTTTGTTATTTTCCATTTCAGATAATCCCATTTCTCGCTCTTGGATTAGGTGTCGATGACATGTTTTTAATTGCCCATACTCATGGGGAAATTGGGCAGAGCAAGATACCATATTCCGTAAGTGTTGTCTATTTCATGCAGTGTACATGGACATAGCAAGCTTTACTAACACATCAGTACTAACTTATCCATTGGGCATGCATGCATCAGTAAATGAAAAAAAATCATAATATTCCTGTATTAACATTAAATGATGTAAGGAATCAACCATAAGCTGTGGTCGATTTCACTTGTCGATTGCTCTTTTGATGTTATTGTTGATATATGTGTCAACATTACATGCATAGATTCATGTCTATATCAGTATTTGCTTCATTCCATGTCAGTGTCAAGTATTATCAACATAATGACAACCAACATGTTGGCCACATATTTCATTGCATTGCCTGAACCATCCAACATAATTTAACCACAAAGCTGTTGTTTCCGTCCCCAAATTAAAATATCCTGCATCGCCTTTCGCAGGTTAAGTAGGGAGTCCGTTAGATCTACCTGGAACAATAAACCCTCACACGTCGAGGAGCCACTCTCTTCATAGGCGAACAAATCATAGCCACAAATATACACAATTACGTAGTAGACTAAATACTCTGGCGTTTACAGATGCTATCCCATTGTTCTCGGTCGCCCCAATCTGAGTGGTGTTACACTATGTCTCTGTTGTTTAGCTTCGCAAGTGCTGCCTTAGCTAGTAAGGAGATTTTGTCTCGGCAGCTTTGTATTTAGGCTATGTCCATTCATAATGGCAGGTGTGTTTCTTTCAGTTTTGATTTGGATTAATTCTAATTAATTTATGAAATATTTCTGAATTTAGTATTCTTAATGAGTTAACATAATCTTTTAATAATTTTAAACTGCTGTGAAAATTTTTGTTCTTAAAAGCTTCAGGTTTTTCATGGTATTTGGGGGGCCACATGTAAAAAATATATCGATGGCATCATTAGGGTTAAAAGCACTCTTGGGATCTTCTTGCAGAAAGGAAAACAAGTTTTTTTTAACGTGACATGTTTGTATACATTGAAAGAATGGAAATGGGTCCGGCATTCCTTACAGATTACTTTTTGGGTGGCCTTCTTCATCATTATCTCCCTTTGTTTAGAGTTACGCGTTACACTATTCACTATCTAACAGCCCCCTCTGGGGGGTCAACCAGGAACAACCAGCTATAGACACTCTAGAAAACTCTTTGTCGAATACTCTCAACAAACTTTCAAAGTAATTTTATTTAATTTTAAGGTTTTTGTCATCAGACATATGACAATATTTTAAGTGTTTTTTTATTTATAATACTCTTTAAATATACCCATGTTTTTCAGCTTCACCATGTTTGGTGTTCATGTACCCTTTTGTGTATATACAGGAAGTTTAGAAGTATATTTACTTTTGCTTAGTTAACTAAACAGGATGAAAGACGTTAAATTTGTTATTTTTAAGTTTCTGTAATATCTACCAAGAACACCTGGGTAAACAAGATGAAGGCCCTTGTCTTGAAACCCCTGTATGATTGATTACATTGAAGTTTGCTAATTGTCTTGGCCATTGGCAACACTGCCCACCGGCCAGCACAGTGTGGACAGGTGTGTGTTAGAGTAGTGGTCAGCCTGCAATTAAGCAGAGGCCACATCAAATACTGACCAAAGGGAACATCAAACACTCGGGGTTAATGGGCACCGTCATTATCAGGCCGTGTTGGCGGGAGTTGTCCATTACCTCACTGCTCCTGTACTGTTCCTGTTTTTATCTGCTGCACCTTGCTCTTCTAATCATTGTGAATTGGACCACTCTTCCTCCCTGGGAATGCTTTGTTGAGATCCGACTCCTCTCAACTCGCTCACCATACCCACGAGACCACCTGGTCAAATAGACGTGTTGAGGCGTCAAGGACCTGTAGAAAACATGTACATTTCAGGGCTAGGGGTTACGGCAAAAGTCACAAATGAAAGAAATGTGAAAGATGTTGATTTCTTTTGGCCCAGTGTTGATATTATTTGTTGTAAATTCAAACAGGATTTGGCTCCGGTCTTGCCTTGTCATGACAGGATGCAGGGGGCGCTCCAATCTGTTATCGTTGAGACTTAGCATGTTACCCTTCTTTGCCAAAATTCTTTCATATTTGGAGAATGTTGTTTTATCCAAATTCCATTGTTGAAATAAGTGCAATGTAAGACATTATGCAGTGCGTGAAAGACTGACTTCTCACAACATTGCTTCATTCTAAAGTTGCTTGTTGGGGAACAAACACAATTCTTGGTGTGAATTGTCTGTTTATCTATCCTATGCTAGTAGTCAAGATGGGTATTGGATGTCCTGCTGACGAACACTGGCCATCTGTTGCTACCTGGCTGGCATAGTGTGTATTCATACCCAACGTTTTGATTACAGGTTGCTATGATATGGTTGAAAGCAATGTTTCTCTCATTCACTCATTCTTCATTCCCCAAAACCAAATTTACTTAATTATCAACTGCTAAGACTTACATAGAATAAAAATAAACTACATAGAATTTAATTCTAATAAAGATTAGATAGAATACAATTTTTCTCTCTCTTAGTGTCATGAGTACCTTATAATGCCATGTTGTCCTCTATGTTCAGTGCATACATGGACGATGTAAGTTCTGGTGTTACTTAATCTTATTGATAGTCTTGCTGTTCCAAGTGTTTCCCGTGTCATTGTCTCGTCTATTGCACGACGTCCTGGTCTATTCCCTAGTTCACTGTATGCTTCTATGTTCTTATTTCTCGGTGTTCTTAACGTTGAAATGGCATTATAAGCCAATGAAAACATTCACTTTCTTTTCACTGTCACATGTCAGCTGTTGAAATTGATGCATGTATATTTCAAGAGGTTGTTCACACTTTCAACATTCTACAGTTTCATAAGCTATTTGATGTTAATCAACATGTGGAGCAAGAGTGAGTGAGTGAGTGTTTGCTAAATGCTGTATCAGCAATTTTGCACTTTTCACAGCAAACAAAATATGTAGTATTGTTTTGTAAAAACAGAAATGTTTCTTACTTGCTGACAGTTACAGATTATGCTATGTATTCAGAAATAACATGCATTGTAATTGTAATAAATTTCTTTCATGAACATGTACATTTCATTGTTAATAATTGCATATTCATTTACTGGGAATCAACGTGAAGCATTTAGTAATATTTTTTTCGATATTTTTTCTTCTGTTTAACGCAGTATCAGATGTTGTTTTCTTTTACATAGTTTCAGAGGTGTTGTTTCTTTTACATAGTTTCAGAGGTGTTGTTTCTTTTTCATAGTTTCAGAGGTGTTGTTTCTTTTACATAGTTTCAGAGGTGTTGTTTCTTTTTCAGGAGCAAACAGGTGAATGTTTAAAGAGAACTGGTGTCACCGTGCTTTTGACATCAATCAGCAACATGTTAGCATTCTTCACAGCAGCCATAATACCAATCCCAGCATTGCGAGCTTTCTCCTTACAGGTACATGTCACTACATATTTTATGAACTGTTAAAAAAACTTTTGCAGACATTTAAAAAAAATTCAAGCTTTTTTCACTGTTGTGTCACCTATCATTTTTTATGAAGCCATTTAGTTTTAATGATATATTCTGTATTACGCTTGACCCCAGCCTGCTTGACCTGGGTCTGCACTGAGCGTGACAGGAAGTAGGGCCAGATGTCCATCAAATGGCCTGTTATACGACCCGAATACAATCAATTACCATCCTGGAGAGGCCTATAAACCTCTTAGGAGCTGGGGAGAGTTTGCCACCCACACTGTGTGGAGTTCTTGGGGGTCAAGTAATTTGATCTTTCACCTTCTGTTGGAGGCTGTAGTGTTCTTAATTGATTTACATGTAAAGTAGATTAGAAAATAAATATGTGAGGGTCGGATTTATGTTTTGGGGATGGCTGTTTGCTGGATCAGATTGGGTATTTTTCTAAAAAAATTGTTTGATTCTGGTTAATTTGTTAATTTGAATTCATATTTAATGCATTTTTTTTCAGGCGGCAATCTTGGTTTTGTTCAACATGGGTTCAGTTCTACTTATATTCCCTGCCATTATCAGTCTTGACCTAGTGCGCAGAGAAGACAAACGCTTGGATGTCCTGTGTTGTTTTCAGAGGTACATACCCATTGTTGTTCTTTTCGTTATTGTTCATTTCATTGTTGTTAATTTCATTGTCGTTCATTTCATTGTCGTTCATTTCATTGTTCATTATTACAGATTTGGATAATATTATGTAATAAATCATCCCTTACCCTGTCAATCGAAGAAATAAAAAAGTTTGACATGATCGTTACTCAATGTTTTGTTTTCAGTCCTGGAACGACACAAGTGATTGAGCTCCAGCCCCAGCCCCAAGATGTGGAGGCCCCCCAGCGGGAGGCCAGTCCCCCACCCAGCTACAGCCCACCCCCCAGCTACAACACCGTCATGCACAACACCATCACCCACTCCTCGCCCGATGGTGGTCACACCATCACCACACTAGCACCCAACGATGGCGCCTTTGTGCAGCGGAATAACTCCATATCATCAGCAGGTAGGTCATGATTCCTTATAGCCATCTGGGAGGGTAGCGATAAGTGTCGTTGGATGTTGATTTCCATCCGAGGAAATAACTATGTATCGACTGGTAAGTTACAGATCATGTCAATATCATTGTGATTGCTCTGAACTCCATATCATCTGGTGTGTGATTGATGTTTTACAACAATATCATGTTGATTTCACTCCGGAATAACTGGTAGTTAAAGGTGATACCAATATCATGTCGATTTCACTCTGAGAATCAACTCATGGAATGGCTGCCAGATCTGTCAATATTATGTCGATTTCAGTTGTATGATAAATGCAGTATCACAAGTGTTAAATAAAATGAAAATATATACAGTTCTTTGTCGTTTTAAGTGATGTAGTATTTGTAACATAAAACTGATATGTATCAAAAAGGAACATATCTATAATTTAAGTTACAAACTCTTTTAGCAGGTAGTCCATCAACAACGTCATCTCGTCAATGTCTGACGCCCGAAGAGAGCATGACATGCAGAGACCGGTGTGTACGAGCTCAGCGCGAATGTCTCTCCTGGTCTCTAACATGCTTCGCTACAAACATCTATGGGCCTTCTCTTCAGAAAACTCCCATGAAGGTATGTACATTTCATATCTATTTCAAACGACTCATCCATTTCAGACTTGCTGATTAATACAACAAAATGATTAACAAGTGTCAATTTGAAACCAGTACATTTGTGATCGCAGTTAAGGATGCATTCCTTCAAAGAGTTGAGAACTCCAAAACGTGAAATTCTAGCGTGATATTTGTTAGAGTGGAACATAGACACATCACCACTGTTTGCAGTGATCATTAGACGCCGGCCAAGGTATGATCTTTGTTTGTCTCCGTCCACTTGCGTCAATAGATCATGTTACACTGTTTGAGCAAGGGGGCTTACCTGGAGCTTATACAATAGACAGAAAGACAACAATAGCTGGCTCTCACCTGAGGTAGACTGCTAACGAGCATCACCTACAGGTGAGCTTGAAACCCCTAGGTAACAATAACTAGTCAGGTATTTTTCAACTGGACATATGGAGACATTGAAACTGTGCTTATTGCGGAACTTGAGCCCGAGTCAGGATTTTTAAGTCCAGACAATGGTTTTTATTTTCACTCATGACTTGAAGGGTTTTTTACAGGAACACTATCATGGGATTGGAGGCATTTTTATGGTGTTCTTTAGAAATATTTTCAATTTGATGAGTAAAGTGATGTGTTTGTGTTCTAAGATAGTATCAGTCTATTCGGGACTGTTGTTGTTCCAGGGATTATGGCTGCTCGCCTCCCCATCTTGGGAGATTTGAGAACTGTGTTGTATATATGCGAAAGAAGGAATATGGGAATTGCCATAAAATCAAACAATTAATTAATAAGATTATTAAAGGGTATTTGGTAGTTGATTTCATGTGAAAATAATGTGAAACAAAGTATAATATAAATTTATTACCGGTATATATTTTCTCTATGTCTTAAGACGTTTTATAGGTATAATGGATTTCCAGCAATTTATCCTGATTGTTCAATACTGTTTTGTATAATGATTGTTAATGTAGGGGTGTCATGATTCACTGAAGTGTCAATACATGGTGAATTTGCACCTGTTGATGTGACGTGATGGGAGTTCTTATGTATGGATTCATTTTTAGATTCTGTGTTGATTTTCACAATAATACGGCTTGGTAAATATGGGGGCTGGCATTACCTTACCACCTATCATGAAACACAATGCTAAAACTGATCTTATAAATGATTAGAACAAGCCCAAATTAACCCAGCATGTGATTGTAACAAGCTGGTTGATAGCAATAACTTCTTGACAGCATGGCCACATTGAACATGGGACATTTCACACAAAAACAGCACACAATTATGTATCATGATAATATCACATTGTGACTCAATTATCACGATATGTATCAGTATGAGAGGGAGGTGAATGGACATGATATATATTTTACTTACTTTTAGAAGTTGGAAACCCTTTAGACATGTTTCTGCTTAGGATCGAAAGAAGAATGAGAAATGCATAATGCACAGGATAAGTTGAAAAATGTATGAAGTTTCCTTTCTTTTTTTGGTTTCAGGTGTTTGTGGTTGTGTTCTTTTTTGTGTTCCTGATTCTGGGCATCTGGGGAACGGTACAAGTCAAGGACGGTCTTGACCTTACAGACGTTGTGCCCCGTGGAACTAAAGAACGCAAGTTCTTGGAAGAACAGACCAAATACTTTGGCTTCTACAATATTTATGCAGTAACTCAGGGAAACTTTGACTATGCAGGGAGACAGGATGTCTTGTATGACTATCATAAGGCGTTCCAAAGGGTGGACAAAATCATCAAACGTGAAGACGTGTCTGTGCGACCATTCTGGCTCGATCTCTTCAGGCAGTGGTTGTCAGGTATGTTGATTTGAGGCATCAATGATAGTGCTGTAACTTCACATGTAGCAGGGGTAGCAAGGCAGTCTAGTGGTCGACTTGTCAGGGTTGGACTGGGTTTGATTCCCAACTTCTTAGTTCACACTGTTGTTTAACCTCTAAAACAACTCAAATGGTAGGATCTTTTAGTTTCATGTAAATTTCGGGTGTCAGTGTTTCATGCACAGTAGTTTTGGCTTGCCTTTGTGCAGTCTGAGAGTGGGATGTATGCACTCCTCAGTAAAGTGTCTGTGGTTGGTCTCCAGATCTTCAGACGGCTTATGACAGAGAGCAGCAAGATGGACGCTTCTATGAGAAGGGATGGTACGACAATGCAACTGGAGAAGCAGTTATGGCTTACAAGCTTCTGGTTCAGACAGGTGATGTCAACAAGCCCGTCGACATGGAGCAGGTAGGCATTGCATGTTCATTTCAATTCAATGGATGTCTGTACATTTCACATATATTTACATATTTACATTACACATGATAATTTAAGCAAAATATAATATTTTTATCAATATAAGGACAATTAAATGTAAGAGAAGATATCTTCACTTACAGTGATGATAAAATGATGTTGTGAAGAAATGATTAGATTTATGTATTTTTTGTATTTAACCAGGCAAATAAGATTCGACTCGTCGATGACAAGGGGTTCATCTACCAGCCAGCCTTCTACAACTACCTGACAGCGTGGTGGTCCAATGACGTGATAGCCTATACAGCATCCCAGGCCAACTTCCATCCCGTCCCCAACTCCTGGGTCGACGACAAGACTCAAGTCAACTACAAAAGTAGGTAGCAGTTATGATGATCTCATTCAACAACACAAAGAGTACAAGAGTACAACTCCAAGCCTGGACCTTCTCTATGTGTTGTACTCCGAATTCTGTGGTGATACAGGCATGTATTGACTCTGACTTTGTGATTGTAAGAGTGGTATTTATGAATGGCACTTCTTGTTTCAGTCCCCAAGTCCCAGCCCCTGATCTACACGCAGCTTCCATTCTACCTGACCAATCTGTCAAACACGGAGGAAATCATTGAAGCAATTGTGAACATCCGTCATATCTGTGACCTGTTCTCGGCCAAGGGACTCCCGAACTACCCCAGTGGCATCCCCTTCACGTACTGGGAGCAGTACATCAACCTGCGCTTCTACATGATGCTGTCAATCATCTGTAGCCTCGTTGTCACCTTCATCGTCCTCACAGTGGTGCTAATGAATCCATGGGTCGCCCTTATTGTGGTAGGTGTCCTTTTGATTTCATCGTCGTCAATGTCATGTACATTTCAATGTCAATGTCTTGTACATTTCAATGTCAATGTCTTGTACATTTCATCACCATCAATGTCTTATGCATTTCAATGATGTCAAATTCATGAAAACTTCAAAGTTGTCAATTTCATTGTCATTCTGTGTATATTTTATTGTTTTACACAACGATTTCTATGCAACCAGATTCTTGAATTGTTACAGAAACATATTTTATATATCGTATGCCTTGTAAAAATCTATAAATTTTTTGGGTTACAGATCATTGCAATTTCTCAATTTAGTTATGCCAAAAAATGCCAGTGATGAAGATTTTTCATGAGGATCATAAATTGAATAACTTTTTAAAATTTAGACCACCATGTGAGTCCTCAAATTTAGAGAGTAATCATGCTGTCTTGAATTTTATTTGAACAATATTTTTAAATTTAAAGTTTTGTTTACTAACTACCGAAACTGCATGAGGTATTTTGTGGTAAGAAAATCTAGAGTAATGAGAGAAACACCAGCAGACAGTGTTTGAGCAACAATCAGTAGCTGTCAATGTTTAGGAGTATGTCAATAGCAGAAAGTGATGGAAGACGTTTCCCAGCAGGGATGGTGCTTCCACACGTGGGGAACCCATTGACATAGCCATGGTAGTACAGATGGCTTCAGAAGAGGAATTTAAATGTTTGGCCATATTCATATGTTTATTTGTTGCAATGGAACTTTTCGAGATGATTGCAACATTTTTAAAGACACTTAAACATCTATGCATAGACATGAACACCACCAATACGAAGAATTGAAGTGAAAAAAACCATCAGAGTTGGCATTAATTTTATAGGGCTTTGAATTTGTTTATGTAGTCAACAGCGTTTTAACTATTTCCCTTATTTGGCAGGTTGTGGTGCTGAGTATGATTCTCTTGGAGCTTTTTGGCTTCATGGGGATTATTGGAATCAAACTAAGTGCTGTACCAGCCGTCATCCTCATCATGACGGTGGGAATCGGCGTGGAGTTCACCCTTCATGTGGCTGTGGTAGGTCTTCTTCCCCCCCCCCCCCCCCCCCCCCTCCTCTCCCCCTCAGACTGAGAAAACAACAGCAAAATACAACAAGCAAATGTCAAACGCTGAGCCACAAATTTTGGCCAGTGATTTGCTGTTGATTAGGGCGGGATGAGACTGTGTAGGATTATAAAGTCGTTAGTATGAATAAATAGAGGAAGTCTTGCCGCACATGCTTCTGATTAGGCGTCAGTTTCGAAAGGTCAGGCGAGATCAAGGTCTGATTGACAGTTACTTGGAGCTTGGTTGTGTATTCATGTCTTGCATGTGCACCCAGGTGTAATAAACTGTTGCACATTCCTTCAGTCTCCATGCAGGGAGGTATTCTCATTCAATAACTTGGTCATTCATCAATGTGAAACTGATTTGTAATTGATAACACATTTACATGCCGAGGTTCCTGTAAGGTTTAGTTTTATATTTATTATTGTTTTTTTGTTATATTAACTGCTACTTTTTTCTAAATCAATAAACAGTAAATCATTCATGTGCATGGTTGCTCGGATGAATTAGTAACATCACATTTCTTCCTGACAGGGATTTATCACATCAATTGGAAATCGCAATAGACGCATGTTGATGTCGCTGGAGCACACGTTCGCGCCTGTCGTGCATGGCGCCGTGTCCACTCTACTGGGGATTATTATGCTGGTGGGAGCAGAGTTCGACTTTGTCGTAAAGTGAGTACAACATTATGTCTTGTTAAGTGGAATCCACGGAAAAAGAGAGAGCTGAAAACACAGTTGAAAAAAATGATTTAAGTAATTAAAAAATCAGTGTAAAAATCCTGTTTGATTATTGGTATGACCAACTGTCTCTATTTCCCCTTTGATTCTTTTTGTGTACAGTCATGCCTCATTATAAGGACGGAATTAGCCTTGCCCATGTTTGGGACTATAGCAAGTTAGGCATTGAACACAGTCCTGTTATGATGAGGCGAGATGAACATTTATGCTTCTTGATTTCATAGCCTCTGGACAGCATGATATGCCATGTGGACTGTGATTGTGTCAGGTGGACTTGTTGATCACATGACATGTGGACTTGTCAAGTCAGGTGGACTTGTTGATCACATGACATGTGGACTTGTCAAGTCAGGTGGACTTTTTGATCACATGACATGTGGACTTGTCAAGTCAGGTGGACTTTTTGATCACATGATATGTGGACTTGTTGTGTCAGGTGGACTTGTTGATCACATGATATGTGGACTTGTTGTGTCAGGTGGACTTGTTGATCACATGATATGTGGACTTGTCGTGTCAGGTGGACTTGTTGATCACATGATATGTGGACTTGTCGTGTCAGATAAACTTTTTGATGGCATGAATCTGTGTTAGACAACTTGCCTTTGTAAACAGGGTGAGAATCTGTGTTAGACAACTTGCCTTTGTTAACAGGGTGATAATCTGTGGTAGACAACTTGCCTTTGTAAACAGGGTGATAATCTGTGGTAGACAACTTGCCTTTGTAAACAGGGAGAGAATCTGTGTTAGACAACTTGCCTGTGTAAACAGGGTGAGAATCTGTGGTAGACAACTTGCCTTTGTTAACAGGGTGATAATCTGTGGTAGACAACTTGCCTTTGTAAACAGGGAGAGAATCTGTGTTAGACAACTTGCCTTTGTAAACAGGGTGAGAATCGGTGTTAGACAACTTGCCTGTGTAAACAGAGTGAGAATCTGTGGTAGACAACTTGCCTTTGTAAACAGGGTGAGAATCTGTGGTAGACAACTTGCCTTTGTTAACAGGGTGATAATCTGTGTTAGACATCTTGCCTTTGTAAACAGGGAGAGAATCTGTGTTAGACAACTTGCCTGTGTAAACAGGGTGAGAATCTGTGTTAGACAACTTGCCTGTGTAAACAGGGTGAGAATCTGTGGTAGACAACTTGCCTGTGTAAACAGGGTGAGAATCTGTGTTAGACAACTTGCCTTTGTAAACAGGGTGAGAAAGTGGAAGTAAAAGGGAGAAACTGTGGAAGAGGGGTGAGAAAATGCGATTTAAAGAAATTCAAAATTTAATGCAATAATTATAATAAGTGGTCTGGATTGTTCTGAAAAAAAACTGAATTGGTTAAATTAACAAGATCAAGCATGAAACAGACATGACAAGATCCTAAGGTGAAATTGATGTGAAATGAACAATGAATGTTCCACAAGCCCTAGTGAGATATATACAGGCTTTATGGCAAGTCACGTATGAGGGGAATGTTTATGATGCCACTGGTACACCTGATCTTTTGAGGCAGATGTGTCGGTATTAAAGAACAGCCACCCAGTAAGCCTGCCTGATATTGTTAGCTTCAGTTGCCATTATCATAGTAAGTGAGATTAGTGGGAGATAGGAAGGTCTGGCTTTTGGCACAGTAATAGGGAATGTATTTAGCTTCCATCACATTGAAAGAAAGCCCTTGATGAATCAGTTAATCTGATTTTCGCATCACCGACCTTCGACTAATATTACCTACCCCTTTGTTTTTTTCTGTCTCTCGTAACTGTCACAGTGTTTATCTACCAGGAACTTACACACTCTGTGCACAGCCTGTCCCTGCTTCCCAAACATCGGAAGTAAAATTATTTAAAGTCGCAACATGTCTAAATCGGGTATTTTAGATGAACATTATTGTAGATCGTTTCGATGAGGGAATTTTGAATTTGTGTACCTTGCTTTGGAGATTTGATGTAAGTTGTGTCAGGAAAGCTCAATTGTGTTTGAAATGACGAAAACATGTGGCTTTTCTCAGATGTGATTTTGAGTGCTGACTGAGGGAGGGAACAGCGTGGGTTCAGTGTTTTATAGGCGAGAGGTTTTATATGGAGACTGTTGGTGGCGTGCCACATGGACAGCTAGCAGCTTCCAGTCTACAGGCATTGCTGTACCTTCCCTTGTAGTCCACATCGGAATGAGCAGACAGATATAGTACACAGTCATGTGTGACTTGTACACTGCAAATGTACATCAATTATGATGTCATACTCTTTGAAAACTTACACCTCAATTGCCAGCAATGATGATCGGTTTCATTTGTTTCTTTTAGAGTTTTTACATTGATGGACGTGGGGATAAGAGGAAGTGACATAATGTTTTTGCAATTTACTTGAAGGTTCTGAAGCAAGTCTTAGAAAAAATAAAGTGGTATTTTGTTTAGTGTCTCAAACTATTCTGTGGGGCCTGTGTTGTTTTCATTTGAGTTTCCTCAAGTAAAAAACCTGTTGGGGATGTTGTTTGACGCAGTTTATGTACTGTATAGTCATCAGGTTAGCCTCTAGTTTCTGAAAGGGTAGGAAATGATTTGGTTTCAAGATCTACTTTTATTGAACACCCAAGATGACGGGACAATTTACTTGAGAATTAGATTGCGTTTCCAGAGAAGGCAAGGATAATGTTGAACTGGTAACATTCAATGGTAATTTATTTTTTGTGTTTACTTCATTTTCAATTTTTTGGGGCTGGGAAGTTTCTTCCAATTTTGTCTTGATGAGAAACCATATGTTTACAAAAAATGTATAAAATATCATGTCAAATGTATGAATCTATTCTAAGCATAGTGTTTTAAGTGTATTTTTCTGAAAAACTAGGTATGTTTTATTTCTGTTAAAATAGATGTTATGATAACAAGAAGAATATGCAGAATTGTGAAGCCGGCTTACCAGCATGATATTTGGAAATATTTGCATGTCCGTTTTGACCCTGGTTGTGAAATACTGGGCCACCTTGATGACACATGTCAATGGTATGCTATGTACAACCTGAGAACCTCATCCATTTCACACCCAGCCAAAAAATTAAATCTTTCACAATGAAGACAAGAGGTACTTAAAACTGGAAAATCTTTATGAAAACACAATCAACTCACAGAACATTAGTGGTATGGGAAACATAAACCAATATTAAGCTTTTCAAACAAGGTGAAAGTGGACATGTGGGGGAAGACCAGGAGCGTATCGGGTGAGGGACAAAGGCAGCTATTGGTGGTCACTCAGCCATGTAGGGCTATTGAGGGACGGTCAGTCAAATTGGGACTGAGAGGCTATAAAAACATGGCGGTACTGCGAAGGCGAGACCACCCATGTTGGCTGTGTGAGGAATTTCCCCCTCAAAGCCGACCCAGTGCTCAGCCCTTCCTAGTTTCAGTGGCTGTGATTTCATCAACAGCCGATACCAATAATAGACGCCTACCGTAGTGCTTGCACTCAAAGAGCTTATGTTGGAGCTGTCATAGACAAGTTGCTGATAATCAGATTGGTGTTGAAAGAGTTGACAGTTTCAAGTTGTTTTTTTCCCAGGTTGTAATGTACAATTACATGTAATTTGATTTTGAATATTTCATAGTTTTTAGGAGTGTTATCATTAATACTCAAGGAACATATTCATTGGGTTTCTTTTCCAAATATATTGTTTTGTTTATAATCATTCACTGTCAGTAGATTTGAACTATTTTGGAAGTAAATCATGAAAAAGTTAACTGACAGATATATCCTTGTTCCGTTCAACACATAAAGTTCAGAATCTCACCATTATATCATTGCTTTGTCAACAGAAGCCTACATAATCAAGATGCAATTTAAGATTGCCCAAGTGTAAAATTACTCGCCAGTTCATTCATGAAAGCCGGCCCTGCTCCGTCCCAACAAAAACGTACAGTTCAGTATTCAAATATGTCATACCCTTTTCCTTCCCCACAGAAACGAGTTAGAAGATCCCTAATCAAATAATTATGAAGTCTTCGAGGCAGTTGTGGTTGAAAAAATCCGCAATATGTCAGTGAATTGTGGTCGACTCTCAAACACAGGACTACATCCTCGCTGCCTGCTGTAAGAAAAGAGACTATTAAGTTTTACATATAAATCAGCATAGCTCAATATTTATGCTCGTCTACACCACTCCTCTTCTCTGTTGGCTGTGTTTGGAGGAGAGAATGGGGTCGACCCCCTTGAAAGTAGTGAGTGGGAAACTGCCAATATGGTTTTTCGCAAATAATTTCTAGGTAAATATGTTTTGGTGACCAGGCTAGGCTTCCATAGTCTGTTTGCCTCAGTGTAATATGAGGCCCATTTATCAGAATTGTAGATTTTTACTTACAGTACATATTTGCATATGACACCTCTTCTCTTAGTTAACAATACAGAATAGGAGATCCTGTGTGTGTTGGTGACATGTTTCTATTAGTATGTTATCTTGATGATATTACATACTGAGTGATGGATTCTTGACGTACTGAAATACATTGCTTGACACGACACAAACTGACAGATCAATTGGAGAGAGAAGAGAAAGTTCACTTGGACATACTAATGGCCATATTGGCAGTATTTAGACTTGAGAAAGGGGTTAACTTGCATTGAAAAAGGAAAACTGCTTTTGAAAGAGTAGATGAATGAATTTTATCAAGAAGTTGCTATCTCTCATACATTTATGACTCACATTTTTTAACCTATAGAATAGACCAGACCAATATATTTTTTTGTTTGACATACTTTTTGGTCAATATGCAGTTGCTGTCAATAAAAACAATTGAAAAAAATAATTTGGGGGTTAGTTTGAAGTTATTTTACATTTATAAAAAAATATATAATAATTTTTGTTAAAAAGAAGTGAAAGGCATATTTTTTATAATATTTTACCCATTTTCATGAAAATAAGTTCTGTCTACCTTTATGGTCAATCTTTAGATAGA